GAAGGTGGTGCAGTGGTAATAACAGGAGCAACTGATATTGGTGTGAACATAACGAAAAAGAAAGAAAACTGAGAAACAAGTTTTAAGTCTTCGATTAATGAAACTTTGGTAATGCATTTCAAACGAAAACAAACGCTGAGAAATGACGTGTCAGTGTGATATCTATGCCCAGGCCAGATATGACTAGTTTCATAAAAGTTTAGAATAAACGTTAGGCTTTACAAATGCTGACTACAACACACAGAGAGCTGTCAAACAAAGATGTATAAACACAACATTAACCGTAATATTTCTAACATGATAAGGATGTCAAGATTACATCGAAACGTCGTTTTCTAGCATTAATTTTCATTTCATAGCTTTTGGTTGATTTTAAAACTGAAAAATACCACTTTAGTATTACATGCTTGGGAATAAGGAAGTCAAAACTCTCTTTTACGGGCGCACAGACTGTGTTGGAGGGCCGGAGGGAAAAATATTCGGGCTCATGTCATGGCGTATGCCAGACTGACAACCGACACTGAACAAAGTGCTCTCGCCGCCTCTCACTTGAAGTATGACATAACATTGTGGTTTGGTTTCGCACTTGATTAAGCAATATATTCCATCTAACCGTCCAGAGCTCACATAAAGAGGTTTGGAAATCAATTATATCAATTATTCAATTATTCAGAGAATGCAAAGTCTAAACAAACACAACTTGTTTAAAAACAGTCAAATACGGTCCTTAACACTTTCTCCACTTACGAACAGGGTTTACGACAAGCACAATCAGTGCATAGACATGGCCCAAGTGGTTCTCTCCGCGGCACATGTAAGGTCCTTTGTCTTCTTGCCGAGTATCCTTGATCACCAAATCTTTTCCAGTCACCACGTGACGGTCAACAGGTAACGGTCGGAATGACCGAGTCCATTGTATCTTTGGCGGGGGATAAGCGAAGATTTTGCATGATAAAGTCGTCTCCCAGGTTTCGTACCCCATGTGGTAGATCTCAGGTGCTTTAACGAATCTCGGAGGGACTGTGAGAAATAGTAAAGTCGTTTTGAAGCAGAAATCAGTCAAAATTTCAACAATTTAGCAGTCTTTATTAGTCTATGAGAGTATTGCCCAGACCGTAAAACTGTTGACGTTATGTGTAAAAAAAGTAAGCGTTTTCTCTAATAGAGCGGTTTTCAATTGAGGCTCTTAAAACTAAAACCAAACCAATTACTTAGCAATTAGACTTCTCAGCCAATCTCGACAGTATTAATACCAAAGCCAAATTAATTGCCTTATTACTTTCGACACTCAATTGAAAACCGCTCTAATCCACTTCAAATGACACAATCAAGAGTACAACTTTACACACAAGGTTAGACGTTTTAACACTGGGACAATTCATAATTTTTCTTAAGAATTCTTGTTAATTTGGACTTTTCTGTGAAAAAAATCATTTGATTTTAACAACATTGACTACGCCAAGAACAATTCATTTTTATTCAAAATAAGTCTTTTTTACCTTCAACTACAATTTTGACAGTGGTAGAGTCGAAACCCAAAAAGTTCCTGGCCTCGCA